ATGTTTTGCAACCATTACACACAACTCACCCGGGAATCACGAAGATGAAGGGACCTGTGCGATCCTATGTGTGGTGGCCTAATATTGACAGAGATCTGGAGGAGTTAATCTGACACTGTGACGCCTGTCAAAGCACACAAACCAGCGCCCCTCCGGTGCCACGCAGCCCATGGAAATGGTCCAGTAAACCATAACAGCGCGTACACGCTTACTTCTTTGGCCCGCTAGACTGGAAGATGTTCCTACTCTTGATTGACGCCCACACAATATGATTCGAAGTTTTACCGCTGACACAACCCACGTCAGAAACTACAGTTTCATGCATCAGAACGTATTTTACAATCTTCGGATACCATGCACGCTTGTGACAAACAATGGATCCGTTTTTACTAGTCAATAATTTTAGCAACATTTTTTCAACGACATGCGTCATGTGAAGTCAGCTCCTGACCACCCAGCGTCTAATAGATTAGCTGAAAGAGCGGTCTAGACGGTCAAGCACGGGTTCCGCAAACAACCGCCGGTCACATTACAAACAAGGACAAATTCCTTTTTGGTTGTCGCTCCACATCGAACGAAACGACTCGTAAGAGCCCCCGGTGAACTAATGTTTGGGCATAGATTAACAACACGGTTAGACTTAGTGTTTCCCGATCATCACCATCCTCATACACGTTAGCTAGAGGTGGAAAACACCTCAGCTGCTATGCTGCAATACATAAAAGAAAAGAGAGCAAACGTGCAATGGATGCATGCCAGCTATTACCAGTAACTGATGAGCATCGTACCGGTAAGCTACCGGCCGGCTACTATGCAGCAACAAAATTTATTATGCTAAGAAATGAGTCCGTGCTTGGATGGGGAGGCTAAAAGAGACGGGGAGGGACAAAGAAACACACAACACGAACGCCATTGAAATTGGCTCCAAGCCATGTCAGCAAGTGTACTCAGTCAAACGTGCTCACCGTCTTTCGGACCCCAACTAGGGAGCCGAGACGCTCCAACCTAGGTCAGTTTCGAAGTGAGAACCTTCATTCCTCCCGACCAAAGCATCGCTTGGCCACCTCTCCTCTTTTCCCATTCACTCCCCCGACTCGCAAACAACGCACGTCACGGGAGCCGGTGGACTGTCATGCGTAACACTTGGCCGAGCCATCGGAGCCTGGTGGGTGAAATGACGGTGCTGAGTTGTTCAGTTCCCTTTCCTGTGCCGTAAACAAGGCTCACGCGGTGTTCCCACCAGATGTTAGCCAAATTGCGATGCACTGGGGGTCAAAAAGCACTCTTCACGTATAGTTTCACTAACGCCAATCTCCTGCTGCCCGTTTCCCATGTCAAACAGAATAACTTCAGATGGTTACTAAGAACAGTGGCCACTTCCATCTCTGACGCACGAAGAGACCACCAGAATTCGCGGTCCCTCTTCAGGCTAGCACGCAGTTTTGCCCGGAGGTTTCTGTGAGTCTCATTGTGTTCGCTTCCAGCCGGAATGTGCCGTTGAGCATCGATAACTTCCTGAGACCGTGAAGACACCCAATGTCCATGTTGGCTATTAGACTTGCCATCTGAGCATTTGGCTGCTACCAGTAAAGTCTGGCGAAGCTGAGACCAGCAACCTACAATTGTATCCATTGTGCGATTACACAACCCGCATGTCAGCGTACTTCGGTACGCATTCAGAACGTCTGGCTTCGCCAGTAGGCTGGTGTCATTGCGCTCACGGCGTCGTCGTGGGTACCTGCCAAAACACATCCACAGGTCAGCACATCAACGACATGGTCAGTGTCCACACATGTGCTTTAAATCGAGCAACGGTTCTAGTCGCAACCACTCCAGAAGTAACTGCTCGCAATGTGATCGATTTGCGTCCATAGATGGTTCGAGGCTGGTGGACGCCAGGTCACCCTCAGGCAGGTGCTGTGTCGGAAGCTAGCGCTCGTAAGAAGTAAGCTGGCATCTTCACACAAATGAAGTAACTGTTCAGCTTTATCATTACAAGAGTCTACACCGGGTTGGCAGCCCAGATGCAGTTCATCAGTGGATCCTTTTCCAACTTCAGATCCCCATCCAGCACTACATTGGCCATGCAGCTTCTGTGGCGAATGGGCTCATTCAGTTGTCTGTGAAAGTCGCCTTTTGCCGAATCATCTCTATAGTTTGTGAGCGTGTATGCAGCGATGACGAATAGACACCTATTAGTCCCGCGCGACTTCGAACGAGCCAAATAGACGGACCGCGCACATTCGGCTACTGATTTGGATCCAATCAACTGGAGCAGCTTCAGCACAGGAACTCCGGGCAATACCAACATCGACTTGACCCGTGGTCGAAGTTACATCGTTACGGGATAGGCGCAATGAAAAATTGCTGTTGTTGTCACCTGAAGGGGATCTCAAAGTGCGCACAGAGCTCGAGTTTTGCAGGCGGGTATCCAATAAGAGCTTGCTGGTTGGCTAGCCGAATAACCTACTCGTGGTGCCAGCTAGGTGGTTTGGGTTTACCCTGTTTTCGCAAATAGTTCGACAGCACTGTTCCAGAACGTGGTGCGTTTTCGCCTAGCAAGCGTTCTCCCTATAAAAAGCCACAAGTGTCTTTTTAACAACACTGTGACGTGGCGTTTGTGACTCGCCACCCTTGCTTATCCGGACAACCACTTCAACTCCACAGACATCAAGCATCTATTTAACACTGGCGACAGCTTCAACCACGATCAAAAGTGCAGGAAAGCATTTACAAACCCCATAAACACTGCTGCACAAGCCTACATGCATACATTCATATATCAACATATGTGACAATCCTATTGTTCCATTATACATTAACTGATCACTTTTTGTACTTTTAACATGCTCATGTTTGTGCAGGCGCATCTCGCGTAGTCGAGAATAAACACTGTTTTATCTACTCTTCATCGATCGAGAGGGTCTCTAATGTTCGGGAAAGTGCTGCCTGTTGACCGATCTGTAGCGTTGTGTGTACATTGAGGTATGCTAATCTAAAGGAGGATCGAGGACTCCAAATGGAAGCCTATGAACTGGGTGCACTGCTTGGTTGGACATGGGCTTGTCGACGGCAGGAGTGACGCTCCACGTTTGCATGTGAGTTGTAACTAGAAGACAAACGCCTATCATAGCAAACTGGGGGAGGGCCAAGAATTGGGGGTTGAACACGGGGGGATACAAGTGAAGTTGGGATGGGAGGATAAGAGTGAAAAAGCGTAAGAGACAGGACGAGAAGCCTTGAACAGTATCATCCATAATGCTATCCACCCTGGTCGATGCAGCAGATAGGGCGCTGTTTATTATCCTCTGCGACCGCCAGATCATCAACAAATTGCTTAATGAAGTTTTCATAGTATTGCGTGTTCATGATACTGTCAGGTTGCCCAGGCCTAGATTAGAGAACGATTAGGGTTCTCAACAAAATTTTTGATTCAAAAACCTTACCACAAGACAGCGGGTTTGGCGATGGGCTACAAGGAGTCTGTTTTAAGGAATAAGGAACCACCCTCCTTTCAACCCCCAATCTGGAGGACCAGGTTTGGTCCGCAGAAGCAGACGGTTGTCTCGTCCTATTGGGACTCGTCAGTGGGGCGTATCCCTCTGCTTCAGGAATTGAGCGCATGGTCCCTCGACACTAGTTGTTTGCTCCATGAGCGCAGTTAGCTTGTAAGTCATGGCGATCTATCGCCATCCCCCATGGCTGAGTGGCATAAGTTACGGGCTAGTGATGTACCTTTTTGGCTCGTGCAGGCTTTGGCTGGAAAAGACCGTGTGGCGGTCTGCCATCCACTTGGTAACAGCATATAAAATCGTTGACTTCATGTCTTGCTACCGTTGGATCCACACATTTGCGTTGTTGGGGACCAAAGGACGGGAAGTGCAGACGGCTGGAAACAGTTCAGGATGTGGCACACAATCGAAACCAGCGGAAGATCTGTGTACATACTTGTTTCGATTCAGATGCTTAATGCCGCTTAACCTTTGAAAAAGTCAAAAAATGAATGCATGAAAAGGTAACAAAAAGTTTCGTTCTTTTTGCGACGAAGTAGCTGAAGCGTGTTTCTCACCTTCAGCTAATGTGACTTGATGATAATGTGATTGTTAAACCTGCATTTCTTCAATAATTTCCATGGTATTTTGGCAGGTGTATATATATTCGTTAGACTGTTCTACTACATACATACAGTGATACAAGCCGCTGGTGTCATGGGTTAGGTTCCTGATGGACTTCCAAATGGAACGAACCGGCCTGCTGATGCTTTTTCCAGCGTATGGGGGACTATGGAACTTGAAGTTGCTGCGATGAACCCAATAATTCCCATCAAAAATCCCCTCATCCAAAATAGGAAAACGTTTGGTTTTTACTTGACAACTTACCTTCATCAGGTCAATTTCTGATGTCGAATCCCCAGAACACTCATGATGCTGTTGCTGCGGTTGGATCAACTCTTTCTTTGGTTTTCACTCTCTTACCAAACTCGCCTCGGAAACGGGTTAGCGTCCGCGTGCCCTAACAAACCATATATTTATTCTGTGCTTCTAGTCTTGTGATGCTTCTCTTTTGTATCTGCAGCTGTCTGATCATCTGTCCCTCTTATCACCTCAAAGCGATCCGCCACTAAGAATACTCTGTCTCTGCGTCACTCACTGGTTGGCCGGTGATCTAGTGGTCTGCGCGCCTGGTTCGCAACCATAAGGTCACCGGTTCGAATCCGCGTAGGGGCGGGCGTCCTCGCGGTACACTCAGCGGTGCTCGCCTGGCAGCGAAGCGCCCTTACGGCATATAGCTGGCGATTCACATTCTGCTTTACATCTATTAGTCCCTACTTTGGCTCTTTCGTATCTCTACTGATGTTTACTCTGCTGCCATCTTCCCACATTCGGAATAAAAATGTTGTCCTTTCGGTTCAGTTCGTCGATTTTTGCACCAATCCACCAATTTCGTCAGACGGCTTCAGCCAGAGGTCTTTAAACCAAACCTGTTTTCCACCGTTCTAGTTGACATGCCTCAGTCAACCTCCGCTCTGGCCTGGCCTATCTCGGGTGGCAGTCGTATTCAATGCGGGATCTCGTTACGAAATGAATGGCAAGGATCGTGGAATCACGCATCTGATTCGTCGATCGTGTGGGCTGTCCACCACCGATTTCACGGCTGTCAATCTAACTAGGCACTTTCAACAAATGGGAGCCCGTGTCGCGTGAGTTGTTCGTTTTAGAGTCGATCAACCTCTGCTTTTTGTACTTATATTTCCGTCAGCGGTACGAATAACCTACCCATCATATCCCAACTCAGTTAACAGTCCTTGACCAAACTGTCAACTGAAACTAAAAAATACATTTTTTATTAGTCAAAAGGACTGATTCTGCAGCTCAACAGAAATGGCCTACTGGAGAGTCCCGTGTTACCAAAGACTACCAGAGACCGGTAAACGCTCTCGCTGATTGGATTTCAGCTGAACGTGCTGTCACTTGTGTGCTCCAACTCTAAAGCACTCACATTGGTTGGTTCCTTGCCAACGGACTTCAAGCAGGTTTAATCCAAGCTCCTGTTCAGGCTACCGGCATAAGAACGGGCTTGAAAAGCTTTTGAGAAGACTAGTTACAGCTAGCTCCAGTCAGACGACCACCACACTTCCAGAAAACGCTGGACGATTGTTTCGTCCTGTTGGATTTCGTCAATAGCGCGCATCCACCAGATCCGTTTCCCTTATCAGCGACTTATGCCACTGAGCCCCATGGGCGACGGAAGCGGACCACTGTGACTGATTTCTAGCTGCGATCTAGCGCGGCTCATCCTCCACTAAATGCATGTTATGAACGTGCAGATGACAGAGCTACCAATTCTTTTGCAAGCCGCCACCAGTCGAATTGACATAAAAGCTGCTAAGCCGTTCACTAAATATCCTAGAGGCTTGGAAGGTTTCTATGATCGTGCTCCATTTGCAATTCTGAAGCCATGATACAGATCTGCGACGAATTTGGTTGCTCATAGCCTTTAGGATGGGCCTGAATTGGGCTCTATCGCCTCCATCTCACACTGGTGTGAAGGAATTGGCAAAGTTCACAGGACTTCTGTTGGAGAGGCAAAACGGCCTAATGCTGGGATGCACTTTCTTGGCACAACGCAAAGGCCTGTGAGCATGTCGGCTAACAGTGAAGTCTCGCCCGGGTTGGTGGTCGAACTGAATACCCATTCATCCGCGTGAGCGTCGTGTGAACATGGACAAGATAGCTGAGTCGCGACATGGGAGCAAATCTTTCTGGCATCAATGTATCATGGGGGCTGGAGTTTACGGCCAAAAGGTCGATATGAGGGCGTATGTTTGATATATGAATACAGCCGTGGATAATTCTAGTAAATGCTCTCGGGTTAGCGAAGTTGTCTCTTCTGATTTTTCCCAGCTGGGTTGGACGCGGCACCGGGCAGTGAGCATTGACAGGTCAGCATTACGACAGTGGCGACGTAAAATTCAGGCGAACCCAAAGATGTCTGTCAGTTTTGAACAATTGCAAGCTCTATTACGACAACAAGCAAAGTTCGAAAGGGCGCAGGCCAGGTTGATTGAGACGCTGACCCAGAAAATGTCAATACAATCAAGCTCGGTATCAGTGGGAAGTGAAAATGCCCCTTTACCAGAAATTCGGACGTAACAAATTGATGAATCCCGTTACGTTCCAGATGCGAGCATCACCTTTGATTCGTGTTTCCACAAATATGAGGACGTTTCGGGTTAATTTGGTCAATGTCTCGAAGGACAAGTAAGTTCGCCTCATGCTATGGAAACTGGGTGCGGCCGAGTATAAAAATTCACAAACTTCATCGTACCTAAGAAGGGCACTGATTTGCCGTAGTGATGATTTTATCGCAGATGTTTGGGGAGCAGACGACGAAGATTGGGTTAGCTACTCGAGTCGCGTGAACCGGTAATGTGAACGCTGCCAATTCCACAAGATGGGCGATCAATGCAAGTGTGTCATCTACGTTTGTGGTCTGCAAACGACCCAAGATGCCGATATCAGATCAAGGGTTCTGAGCAGAATGGAGCAAAGCCCTGGGGTTATGCTGTAAGAAGTGACCAGTGGCATACTAATAATAATAATAATAATGATAATAATAATAATAATAATAATAATAATAATGTGTCGTATGTACGCCGTAACAACGCTTCGCTACCTTGCGACCACCACCACTCGCATGCTTGTTGAGTGTACTGCGAGGACGCCCACGCCTACTCCAGCGCATGATGAACCTGAAACATGATGCTGCAATGATTCCATCGTCTTCTAGCCAAAATAATCAAGATCTTATTTGTATCGCCAACCAGTCATCAGAAAAACCATGTGTTGATTTTGCAGGGAGTGACACTGCACTCAACTGTCCCTCCAGAAATCACGTGTGCCATCATTGTAGTCGAAGAGGGCACAAAGCGTCGTGTTGTCTTGCGAGTCGACTACGATGAGCGGAAAAGGGTCTCGGATTCCGATGAGTTCTGACGTTGTAACGTGATCAAAACTGTGACGGTGACTTTCAAGGTTGACGGTGTTAGCAGGCGTAAGTACAATGTTGTGGTGAAGATTAATGACAAAGAAGTCAAGCTGCAGCTGTATACCGCTTCAGATATTACGCTGATCTCTTGGGACACATGGTGCATGCTGGGGCGATTGCCGCTTATCCACACCAGCCACACAGTAAGGAACACATCCGGGGTGCCCTGAAATTACTTGAAGAATTGCCCTGTCTGGTTAGGTTCTGGGAGCAACACATTCACGCAACCTGCTTTGTGACAGATCAGCCGGGATTGAATCTGCTGGGACGCGATTGGATGCACTTGCTCAACCAGTTAGTCAACAGTATGTGCCTGAGTTGGTGTTCCTCGATGAATTCGAGAATAAAATATTTATTTATTTATTTTAGTAATCGCAAGTCCTTTGACCTCAGCTCCAGAACTGCGGAAAAACACAACGGACAAGCGGGAAAAAAGCGCGTAAGCAAGTTTCGCACATTCGAGCTTGGTGATTTGATTTACACACGAAACTTTCGAAGCCCGGGAAGATGGTCGAGCGCAACGGTTATTGGTAAGAGGGGCAAGGTTATCTACAAGATAACCGTCGGAAATGTAATGTGGATCAGATACGTCAATCATCTGCCACCGCGACATGGATGATTTCAGAGACCTCAAGAACCGGCAGCAATACAGTGGGATATATTGTTAGACATATTGGGTATTGAAAACGAAAACAACAACCCAAGTGGAACACAACCGATTGCTTCGACCCCACACGCTCAATCATGCAGGCCAACACGAAATCATGAGCAACCGAGATTACTACAAGTCAACCCAAGAGTAAAAAGTTGCGATCAAAACCAAGTACGGCAAATAAGTGGATACCATAAATCCGGAAGGTGAAGAGGTGTTGAAGAGGCAAAACAGCCTAATACTGGAAGGCACTTTCTCGGCGCAAGGCAAGGACAGGCGAACAAGTCGGCTAGCTCAGTCAAGTCTCGCCCGCGTTGGTGGTCGAACCGAATACCTAGACATACGCGTGGGTGTTGTGTGAGCCTGGCCAAGCTAACTTAGCCGCCGCATGGGAGAAAACTTTTCCGCATTAAACTACCACGGTGTAAGCGTCAATAACGCTTAGGATAGTTGTACGAACGCGTAGACCACCGATCCGCGGTCTCCAATTTGGATTCACTGAACTTCAAGGCCCGGAACTGGTGCGCAACCACTGGATAAACAAATGCCACAGTCTGTGTTGAACTACGGTGCTATGTTACAACAATAGCATATCATAAATACAAATTACTTCAGCGATACCCTAAATAAAATAGGTACACACAAATACTCGTCACAGCAATAGACAACCATTTGCTGTTTCATGCACAATGAAGCATAGTGGTCTCGCCACGGGCGAATCAGGAAACAGGCAGTCAAGAGCCCAATCACAACCACTGTAGTCCGTCTGTCGAGCAACAGCTTCAGAGCCGCAAAATCCAGACCTTCTCTGTCCTAGAACCAGGACAGACGCGGGTGAAGCATGACGGGGAGTCAGGCGACAGCGAACAGAATGAGCGAGGTCGATGCGGAAACTGGACAACACTGGGCACAATGAGCGAAATGGATCGATGGGGTATGCATTCAACAAATAGGGGATTGCAAAATGCGGATTAGTGGGTTCGATTGGAGTTCGGGTCAAGAAGCAAGGCAAATAGGGAAGGTCACAAAGATAATGTGGGAGGGCAGCAAAGTTCTCAAATGTAATTGTAGGTTCAGCATAAAGGGGTGGGGCGATCTGGACAGTAACTTTAGACTAGTCACAGTGCGATTGAACAGTTTGTAGGTTACACACGGGAGCGGAAGTTTACGGCAAAAATGTCGATATGAGGGCGTATGTTTGACATATGAATACAGCCGTGGATAATTCTAGTAAATGCTCTCGGGTTAGCGAAGTTGTCTCTTCTGATTTTTCCCCAGCTGTGTTGGACGCGGCACCGGGCAGTGAGCAATGACAGGTCAGCATTACGACAAAGAGCGTTTACGACAACTTTGCCCTGTATCTTTATGTTGCTACCCTCCTCCCAAGGAAAATATCATGTTGTATTTTGCTCTCACACTTACCTTCTGCTAACTGTCGCTCACTTATAACCTGTTGGAGACTAAGCTATATCACATCTTAAGCTTGCCTAAATGTCCGAGGCGTGTCTATCCGTCCCCATGGCTTCAAACGAATGAGAGCTACGTTGGACATTTTCTCTGACTCCTTCAGCTTGACTATATTTGCTACCCCGGAATTTGTGCATGTTTTAAACGCTTCCATGATTAAGGTGCACACGAAACTTGCGCACAACAGATTCTACATACGGAAGAATGCCCACACCGAAAATTGCGCACACGCAAAAACGCTCAGAGGGAAAAATTGTAGCCCTCTGCAAGTTTCTTCGGTTTGCTTAAGTACGATATGTGAAATCTTAATCAAACTTATTCTTCCCACTATACACTTAGGTTACTATTGCGATCCTATGGCCACTAACGCAATTCGGAACGAACACGCACGGAAAAACTGAACACTCACAACGAAATCATGGCACAGAATCACAAATACAACACAAATCCGATACCAGTCTATAGCTTCAACCCCGGAAGGAAAGAAGACAGGACCTCAGACACGAGATCTATTAGCACGTCAACACGAGACAGACCAGAAAGTAATGCAAACTCATGTTTGGTTCAGGTCATTCAACGGCCTTGCCAAATCAGCTAATCACAGTGCTCGTTTGAAGCGGGAACAGATAGCGCGCACCGTTTAATAATCAAAAATAGTGGCTAGCAATAAATCTATGGTTTTGCCTGGTTCTAGTCTAGTTCTTGGGAAATATGGTCTTTTCCCAACAGTTACCACTGTGGATTGTTGACGGTATGTTGAAGTCGTTGGACTGAAACGAAAGACACGCCCACAGCTAGATCACTCGTGCAGCTGCGACGCGCGCTCTTACTCCCACTTCCTTAGCTAGCACGCTTCACCGATGTCCTCTTCTAGCAGCTCACTTATGTACCTACAATGAAAGTGTGTCCCCTCATTAGTACGTTGTTCTAGGTTACGCTAGCCGCCATGAAACGCTCTCGTGGAAAATGCCAACTTTCACATTAATATATCAGGTAAGACACTGTTAATAGATTATGGGATGACCTCGATCTTGTGTTGCCACAAACGCCTCCTGAGGACTTCCAGGATGCAATCTTATTGGCTTATCAATGGAAACTTCATGAGGACCCCATTCGTATCTGCTCTAGCCCTCAAGGTCGCGCCGTGTTGTTCTGATTGGCTGTTTCGAATCTTGCCTCCTATTGGCTGATCAAGAAGGCGAGGCTCAAGTCACCTTTTGTATCGCCGCAAATTGCAAAGCACTTAAGCGACACAGACTATCGTTACTTGTATGCTCCTGGTTACCTTGGGTACTCTCTGTTTCCTCCTATTTCCTACTTATTCGTATTGGATTGTCCGAGAACATTCTTCTGCTTCGATCAATGCGATTATTCCACTGAATTTTCGGGCACATATTGGATTTTACTCGATATAGGGTTTACTGGGCTATTGCTTTAAATATGCTCTTAGCATTATCATATTCCTTAAGACCGAATCTTGGAAGCATGCTACTTGGGCCGTATTAGTATATATTTGGTATGCTTCTACTCGCATGCTCTCTTTTATGCCCGTTTCCGAATTCCTCTCACAGCTGCTACACCACTCGAGAGCACATGATTTACACCGTCGACGTAGCTCCCAACTTGGCCTCCCGCGCCGGTTACTTGCTCGCTGAGATGGCCACTGGGGTTGCCTACTATCATTGGGAACTGAAATCTGTGGCGAACAAGTTGATGCTCCGTGATATCGATCTGCTGCAACGTCGGCAGTTTCCTGCCTGTAAGCGCTCTATCCCCATTTGCTTGCCTTCATAGCTCATCTCTTGGCATTAATCGCTCCTTTCGACACTCCTTCATCCATCATGGAACTTTTGCTCATGTGTTAAGAATCTCAATGTTCTTGTGGCTTAATGCATCGAACCTCGTTCCGTAGGATCTCACACAACTCGTGCATATTCGATTTCCTTACACGTCTACTTACTCCGCCATCTTAAATAAAGCCGTGTGAAGAAATTGACCAAGGCGCTGAATCGGGTTGTCTGCTTGCTATTTCCCTGCGTGATATGTCGCAGTAGCTCTCTGAAAATCAAAGCGAAGACTGGACAGAGATCCAAAAAATCGGTTCCTAAGGAACAAAAGGTCATTTTATACTGTATTCAAATCCGAATTACTACTTAACTGAAGTACACTACTGGCTAATTTTTGCTCTCCATCCACCTGAGTTCATTAGCTTGCGCTCATCGTCCGTTTGGACCACTCCTATCTTGATTGGAACAAACTCGCACTTTGTTCACACTCCATCAACACAAGTCTGAGCTGTTCCTCCGTTCCTTGCGAATGTGGTCTGCTTGCGCAGGCGGCGGGGATTGGCTTTCCCCCTACAGGTTTCGTCTGTTCCTCTCACTCGGTCGACCAGCTACCGTCGCATCACGCACCGTCCACGCCGGGTCAGTGTCGTGGGTGGTCAACACACTTGCCTTCGTCCGGGACCAAAAGCGGGCTTGACTCACAACACTGCAGTCTAATTTTACACTGTTCATCGGGTCCGTGTAAGTGTGATCAACTCTCGCTCGCGGCGCTGATTGGCTTTCCAGTTCACTGGCGCACGTCGGTTTAGCTCGCCTAACCTGAGGTTCACGGTTTGGTCCTCTTCAGGGAGTGTAAACCTTCGCGCATGACGTTCAACAAAGGATGCATCCAAACATTTCATAGACTTGACTGTGAGCACGCCAATCATTTTCCTCATTTAAACAGCCGGCCCTTAGCCTCTAGGATTACAAGCCTGCCTTGTAATTCGAGGGTGCGGGTTCGATCCTGCGTATGGACCGGGTGACCCTCGCAGTATCCCAGGTTCGACCGGTGGTGGTTGCGCGGTAACGAAGCGTCGGTACCGCGTACCGGCGCACTGCTGATGTTTTTCTTCTCTCATCCAGACATATTGTTGGTCACGCGACACTCGCAACGAGACTGGACCTTAACGTGGTGCGACGGTTTGCGTACCTCCTTGACTCATTGAGCTATACTAGGTGGTACCTCCGAACCCCTTGAAAGTTACTCCTACCTGCTTGGTCAATGGTTAGAGGTCAGACGAACTCAGTCTTCTGATCCTCCAGGTTGGGGGTTTGAAATGGGATGGCGTCCGTTTCTGTCAAACTAAATCAGTTCCACCTCCCCGCTGCCTTGCGGACAGGCTTTTGAGCCAAACGCTTTGGTTGAGGATCTTAATCGTCCTCCTGTCTAGATCTGGGCGCCCTGGCAGTATTCCGGCCACATACAACCTTGACAGTTTCCCCACTCTACATGCTGCATCGGCCGTCGCGCAGGTTATCAAGGGTCGCCTTATCTGCTGCATACCGCAGGGCGGATAAGCGAAAATACGCTACTGCTGGCGCCTCTTTTCTTCCTTTTCCACCTTTTACTCCCATCCCGACTCCCATTACTAACCGTCCTTTTATAATTCCCAGCTGAATTGGCAACAACCGAACTGCCACTGGAGTAGAAAGATCTGCACCTACCTTCCCGCAACACCCACCGGACGCTTCTCATCAACAGTCCTTTATAGGACCACGCTGTCCCGTTTCCCTTGTGGCGTTCCACTTTCGCGCTCTGAGACAAATAGGTCAACAGGCTGCACTCGCACGCACGTCGGACACTCTGGGTATTAATGTGTGTTGTGTGTCCGAAACTAGGATTAATGACCTTAGTGGGGTTGTTGAATTAACTGCACCTGACTTGTCCTCTCGCCATTGATTGCACGCCTCCGGAGCCAGTGTTGGAGCACTCACCGATCAAGCTGGGGTAGGTATCATTCTCAGCTCCAAGGCTGAGCTGTCGTTGGTTGATTGGATTCCGGTGAACAGCCGTTTGTGTGCAGCCCGTTCGACGACATCAGCTAAGTTTGATTTACGTAGTAGTACGAAGCGCTGTTTGTATGTGATTCCCGTTTATGCTTTCACCGACTGCAGTTCTGATGCTGCCCATGACACATTCTGCCATGAACTGAACACGCTACTATGCAGTGCTACTAGTTCAGATATTATAGTACTTGCAGCGGATGTGAACGCACAAGTAGAGCGTCTGAGCTCTTCTGAAGCTCAGCTGGACGGTAAATATGGGCTTAACTCCGACCGTACGGACAACGGCGAACCTCTTTTGCAACTGTATGCGGAGCCCCAGCTGTTTCTTAGTGGCACTGCTTTTAGACACAGTGGGCGCCGAAGTGCCACTTGGCGTCCTCCTGTAGCTGGCCAGCGATAGACCCAAATTGATCACATAGCGATAAGTTGCATGTGACATGGTTCCATGCTAGATTGCCGGTCGTTCTGCGGTACATGCGTCGCTTTTGATTATGCCTTGGTACGCTGTCGCTTTTCCATGAACTTTACCAGGAGGCGCACCAAGCGTCTCTCCTGATTGGCAACTGAGAGGTTATCAGCCCTTGGTCAGGCAAGCCTACCAAGATGCACTGCGTACCAAAATTTCGCTCTCTTGTCCTAATGACACTGAGCTTCAGTGGAATAGGAACTCGGCCGTCATGCACGACGCAGGAGCATCTGCTTGTGGCACTATCAATGGTCACCTCACCAGTCACTGGATATCCGAGAGGTCGGTGAACCTATTGGAATCTAGAAGAAACTTCCCGGCTGGCTCTGAGCGCAGTGTGACTAGACGGACTATTAGGCGCGAACTGAAGGAGAACCTACGTGTTGATAAGGAAGTCTGGTGGACCAGTCGGGCTCAAGGAATGGAACAGGCGGAAGCAGTAGACAATTACCGCAAGCTCTTCAGCCGATCCGTACCACTGGTCCCAGGAAACCAGGTGTCAGGGAGACAATCGGAGACAGCGCAGGTGCACTGATACACAATACGAATCGTCGTATGGCTCGTTGGGCAAAGCACTTTCTGGCTCAGTTCAACTGGCCCCCTGCTCCCGGATCTTTTCCTACTCTGGTGATGCAGGGTGAGCCACGGACGTTTAGTTTAGAGCCCCCATCGGAGACTGAGGTCCGAAACGCGATCACAGCCCTCAATGGTTTTCGTGCAGCTGGCCCCGATTCACTCCCACCTGCACTATTTAAGGATGGAGATGAGATCCTCTGCAAAGCACTGACCTCACTGTTCGAAGGTTTCTGGAAAGAAGCGTGTCCCGGCTAACTGGAGTAAATCGATTATAATAGCCATATACTAGAAGGGCAGTCGCACAAACTGTTTTAACCACAGGGGTATTAGCCTAACACCAGTTGTGACAAAATTACTGGCCACAATTCTCGTTCGTCGCCTCACTGTGGAACGAGAATCTCGGATTAGGGGAGAGCAGGCCGGTTTCCGCCCAGGGCGTGGCTGTATAGACCATATATTCCCTTTGCGGCAGGTGCTAGAGCAGCGCCACGCATACAGCAGACCGACGATAGCTGTGTTCCTCGATTTCAAGAGTGCGTTCGATTCAGTCGATCGATGCATTCTGTTCGAAATACTTGCGCGGAAAGGTGTTCCCACGAAATATGTGAACATCCTTCGCGCTGTTTGCTCGAACACTACAGGCCGCGTCAGGGTCTACGGTGTCCTATCGGATAGCTTACCGACCACGAGTGGCGTTCGTCAGGGTCGTCCGATCTCCCCCTTTTTTGTACATTCTCCTTGTGGACTCTATCATAGGGTGTTCCTTTACGCAGTCTCACGATGTAGACTTTGAGGTCCTGTCTACTGGAAGGTTAGTTGATCTTGATTATGCGGACGATCTCTCTTGCTTTTCCGCGATGTCGCGGCGGCACACTCAACCTTTAATAACCTGTGTTGTGTGATTCGATTATTTGGTATGCGCTTCGCACCTTCAATGTGCACTGTTGCTTCAGGACCATCAGCCACTTGATGATCCCTTAATCCTAAATAGCGAAGAACTCGAGGTAGTTGATCAATCCACTTACCTTGGCAGCTGCATCAGCAACGACGGCTGCATAGAAAGTGTAGTCAGTTCACGAACCGCAAAAGCCAGAACTGCCTTTTTGTATCTGCGACATCTTTGGCGACAGAAGGGAGTTTCTTTGCGTCTGAAAGGCCATGTTTACAAGGCCACAGCGAGGGCTGTCCTGTTCTATGGTAGTGAGACTTGGCCCCTTCGGTCTGATGATCTGAGGCGCCTTCAAGTCTTTGATCATCGTTGTCTGCGGATCATTGCTGGTGTCGGGTGGAACCAGCGTGTCCGCAACGATGATATGCATAAGCGAGTACTAGGCAATGGTAACCAAGCTAGTTTGTTAGAACAACAGATAGCACTGAATAAGTTGCGCTGGCTTGGGCACGTACTACGTATGCCTGCTCACTGATTGCCTAGAAGTTGCCAGATGTTGGGTGGCGCAAGGCTCGAGGTGGACAGAAGTTGACTTGGCAGCGGGAAATGAAGTCACTGACGACCAAACTGGGTGCCGTCGGTCCGTCTCGCCTTCCGGACTGGAGTCCACGTGACTCGCTTTGTGCTTGGCTCGAGACTTTACAAGACATGGCTCGCAACCGACACCCGTGGTGCGTCTGCTGCCGTCTCCTAATCGGATTGCCTGTTTAAAGTGTGTTTGTTGCTGAGTTATCTGCGGGATACTGGCTAATTATGACGTGTGGCAGCGATGCCGCCTTATCTTTGCACGATAGCCAGCTGTTTGTGACGGTATGTTGTCTACACAAGGTGTAGGCGCCTTGACCCTGAATGATTGCTTACGGCATTAAGATTTTCAGGTAAGTCCCCCTTCTCTCCCTCTTCTTATTCTTTATTTCGTAGGTCCTCGTGGTTGTATGGCAGCGAAGCATCAGTTCAAACGGCTGATGAACTGGTTTTGATGAGGATGATGATGCTGTGCGATACATAGCACGGGCGTTCTCCTTCGGCCGCTGTTTTATCTAACCCATATGTTTGACTCCCAAGGTACCCTAGCAATAGGAAAGATCTCCGTGCGACGCCACGATATAACGGCTATCCGTGCGTAATAGCACGAAGCGCACTAACTGTCCGCAAATCGATCCCTCATTGCTTTGTTTTCAAGTTTGTGATTGATGAAAATGCACGAAATGACCGTGTCATCTCACAACTTTTGTCCCCTCATTTTCTTCTTTAAAATTATGGAGCGAATCTCTTGCCTCAACTTTCCGGTGTTTTGTGATATATTACCGTCATTTGGCAGCACCAGAAGAGTCCGACTAATCCTCTCGTCTCTAGTCGTGTCTGTTAGTTTCGGACCTTGGCGTTGTTTACTACCATGCCAAGTGGATAGCCCCAAGCAATGAAGTATAGCGAGCAATTTTGGTGCGTCACTCAGCAGTGGCAACAGTAAGAATGATTAATCTGGCAGAGGAAAATTACTTTGCAGCAGGAGAGTAGATACTGGTAATCCGAATGCAGTAGCCCAAGGATCAGAGTCGCTAGCAGGATGAACGTTGGGACATCTTGCTAGCGACTCTGATCCTTGGACCATTGTGCAACATATCCTATTCGGGTTACCACTACCTACTTCCCTGCTTCAAAGTGATTTTCTTCTGCCAGATTGGTTTGTCATGTTTGCCCGGCCCGTCGTCTAAACTTACTAAGCTTGTGTTGTAATCTGCGGGCGCGGGTTCGAGCCTGCGTGGGGGCAGGACGACCCTCGCAGTATCCTTAGCCCACGCGCGACTGTTGGTGGTTACGCGGCACTGAAACATCGGTACTGCGTACCGACGTACTGCTGATATCTGTCCCTCTTTTCTTTGGTTTCAGCGTTCTGACTGAGACGAATTGGAGACGTGTGGAAACTGCTTCTGTGTGGTGCACAAAATTTACTTGTCACTTACCTCATTGTTTGAGGTTACCCACTTGACATCAATGTACACAATATTAATTTCCGAAACTCATTCCAACGACCAGGATTAAATGTCATGTTAGTCGACCAGTGGTTTAAAGGATTACTCGCTTGCCTTGTCAATCCGCCGCGTAGTGCGGCCACCTCACGGTATGCTCAATTCTCGCACGACTATTGTTGGTCGCTTGGCCGTAAAGCGTCGGAACTGTACGCCGACATAAAGCTGCTACCCCTTACCTGACTGGCACCCGTCCGGCATCATGCCTAATCATGCTAATCTGTTTCTACGAAGGGCGCTCAACAGTCCATTGTCATCAGTGATGACGTTGGTCATTATTCTTATTATCATACCATTAGTGGTATTACTCTTCTTGTTGCACTCCGACTAATGTTCTATGTCTCCCGACTAGGGTCTTCATCCGTCTCATTATTTGATCTTACGGTTTATCACCGAGTGCGTAATATTACACTGAACGTATTGCTCACCTGTGATATTTTCAGGGTTATTAAACGGGTAATTCAAAGTGATCAACGGGTCACTGAAACATCTTGCTCGAGGTAGCGGCATTACAACCTTGTAGATTGCTGACATCATTGTGCCTAATCACGTCCATTGCTACGAAAAACGCGTCCAAATTACTCACTGATGCCAGGTACACTCTCCATCGTGCACTGTCGGAATGTATTTTGACTTAAACAAGGCAAACGTACGAAGCCATTTATGCTCGCACATGAGCTTAAAGTGCGTCAGTTTGTTCCCATTTGTCACGTTTTTGAGGGATAAAACTTTAGTCAAATAGGAATCGATGATATCACCACTGGCACATTTTCAAATTGCCGACTCATCATACTCATTTGTTATACTCTAATTTTATCTGTGTCTTTGGCGTGTCTGTTGTGGCTGAATATTAAATAAATAAATAAATGTATTATTCCCGGCATGATCATGATAATACAAACAGGTATGGTTGGTAACTGTATAAAAATATAACAAGTTAGCCAGTAACATACTGGATTTGTGTGTCTGTATATCTGTACGTGTATGTGTTAGTGGACATGCTGTGTGAATTTGTGAAGTGTGACTGAATTTGTTTGTTTGTTTGTTATGTTCGCCATCGTATAAAGAGATCAAAGGTACTCTTCGAACTGGATGACCTACGTGAAGTGAGGAAGATCCTCCGGAAGGGGAAGAGGCAGTGCCTTTATTTAGTGGCGAGTCATATCCACCACGTCACAGTGTTGTTAAATGGACCTTTCTGGTTTTTTGTAGGGAGGGCGCTTGCCACGCGAAAACCCACCACCACCGAACTCTTCGCTGGAACGGGATTAACCCGAACCACCCAGCTACGCATAATGCGCATTATTGACTTGCCTCGACTCGCTGTTATTCTCATGATGAACGACCTAGTTGCTCCGCGCACAGTGAATTGCTGTCCCAGGCAATATACAAATGGGCAGTCTCTGTGCATCCTTCGCCGTCTCCATACATATCGCCTTTCTTGCCGACTAACTTGACAAGTGCACGATTGGCTGCCTACGTTTTCTATCTTGCGCGTGCCACCAAGATGTGCATCTCAGTTGAAACTAACTCATTCCACCGTTTCTCCGCATGATCTAGTTCACAGTGACTAAGTCTATTAATCAGTGGATGTCTAACACGCCGATTCCATTCATCATTTGAGTATTCGTCCTTTTCTGCCTCTTCCTTCCCGTTTAGTATGCATGGAATTGCTTCATGAGGCTGCGTTTGGCCTCAGTCCCAGTGGTTCTGGTTTGGGCAACTGCTTATTCGCCCCCGTGGATCGTGTGGGCAGCTATTCCTACGAACAAATTGAACAATTCCACCGGCATTTCTTCACACCGTGCCGTTGCACTCTTGCATTGGTCGGCCATGAACCGGGCCAGGATGGGATGGAGTTGTTGCGTGAGATCAAGGGTGGCCTGAAGGTTCGACCACCACAAGCGATTCCGGAGAAAACCGGCAAATCTCATGGATTCATCGGAGGTGCGTTGGTACTCTTATTTGGGGCCTGTTTTCTCATGAACTGTCCACAGCTCGTCTGACTAGTCTCTGTAACTTTACATTCGATGTGCTCATAGGTAGCTCTGTCGTTTCAACAGTTCTGCCAGTTGACCGACCGACAGATCTGGCGTATGCGTACGCCACAGCTCTTGAGTCGGACCCATCAGCCACGTGAGTGCTACTGAACAAGCCGGCTCCTCGTGCTGCACGGTTCGGCATGTACTTGATGCCTTGCAGGACTGGACTAATACGCCACCGGTTCTAGCTATCAGTGAACAACCACTGGAAGTGGCAGATAGGTTCAGTTATGCCATCTCTGGTGGTCACATCACTGAGGAACTTATCTTGCTTATAATCAAGGCTCGTGTGGCTTTCCACAGACTCAACCATCTACGGAGACGGCGGTATTGAAAAGCGAAGTGTATACCACTGCGAAAATAACGGTGTTATTGCATTAATCATTGATTTGATGACTACGCTGTAGTGACATTAGACTCTTCGCCGTGATTGACCGTCGGTGCTTGCGGAGTATTGCTCACATCTGGTGCGAACACCTGATTGCCAATGCTAAGATCTGATAGTTCGTTTTTTGACATTAAATCTTCTTGTGCCTCACTACACTGTCCACTAAACTTGTACCGCCTATTTTTTCTAGGCAAAATCTTCTGTGGGCCTATTTACCGCGTTTCGCCGTACCTCATGTTCTATCATTGTGGTTGCAGGAAACAGTAGGATATGGAGAAATTAACCGAAATGCTTGATCAGACTGATACCTTCCGGCATCATAGTTGGTGGCTTCGGAATGGTTTGCATCATTGCTTGTCTACCCTATCGGCCATGGCGCAGTTGCGCAGTCATTGGCGCTCGTACATTCGGCTTCTTTCGCCTGGCTATTATCTTTAGAATCTGGTAACCTTACTAGCCTCCATTGCTTTCCTTTTAGTTGTATTTTCTTACCTCCAGATCCAGATGGGAGATCCCATATAAGTCGAATGCGGAGTACCACAGGAATCGGTACTAGAACCACGGTTACTTTTAACATTTATCAACGATATCACACTCCTCATAAGTTCGAACTGCTCGCTCTTTGCCGATGACATCAGGGTGTTGATGCTATCACAGTACTTCAAGCCGGCCTGCATAGGGTTTGCACTTAGTCAATCCAGAACCTAATTCGATTCAATCTGGACAGTACTGAACTTACGGAACCAGGTGGTATGCTCCTACAAACTCGGCAACCAAGAGCTTCAAACGTCTTCTGGCGAAAAGAATCTGGGCGTTTTGGTCTAGGCCGGTCTTAGATGTTCGAATCATGCTGAAACGGCGTCAAGTTGGGGCATCCAACACGTGGGCTTCCTGAGGCTTGCATTCAGACGATTCGATCTGTCGATTTTTCTACAGCTTTTAGGCTCATACATACGTCCACATGTGGAGTACAGGTCTAACAGCCATAGCTGAGGAGAGATCTCACCGCTTTAGAGAAATCCCAACAGCAGGCAATCAAGAATGTCAAAGGTTTGAATCATGTGCCGTATGAACGAAAGCTTCAAGTGCTCGGGCTCTTCAGCGGACAATATCGGCGCTTGTTTGGAGACCTCACCGACAGTCCAGAGCCGGCTAACATACGCATCGCTCGCCTCGATAAAGACGTCCATTTTCTGGACTAAGCACGCGCGATGCGACACCATTTTCACAACGTTTTTTAGTGCCCGCCAAACAATCCAAGTTACCAGCCAAAACACTCAAACCCACATTCGTTACACAGAACCACAGTGTGTTAACGGTCGTGTGCACTAACGTCCCTGAGTCCAGATATGGCACAATAAAGGGCAAGTTGGTAGATGATCGCAACTAGTGACATTCCATCTGCGATGTGATTGGTATTCGGGTTAACCCAGCTGGGCTACGACGCGTAGCGCGTCACCCAAATTCAGTGCATTACGGCGAACTCCGATTTCTTCGAGTATCCTTGAATTCAACTGAGGAGACAGAGATAGTCCTACTCTCAGCAGTTCATCTTCGCAACTCATCGAGCGGGGTACGCATACTACCTGCTATTCCTTGGAAAGGACGGTCAAAGGAAAAAGAAAACCATGGCGGCCCTTCTACGAACAGAAGCAAAAAACCATATTTGTTTATCGTGTTCCTGAACTACTGGGCTCTCCTGAGCACGAAGCGCAAAAACATGACCGAGAGCAGTGATGCTACATCCGCGAAGCACTCTCTCTGGACCACGTTATCGCTAAATCACTAACGATAATTTTTTCATCTCCAAACTACAAGGGCTGCGATCCAAAAATATTGAAAGTCGTGCTACACTCCGATGGAATGACAGAACTCCTATTGGATAGCTGGTTGAAGCATCGCTCCAGGTTACCTACCGAGATTAGGCTAAAGATAGCAGGCGCACAGCCACTAGTTATCAGCACTTCATTGGAACATGCAACCTCAGTAACATATTTGCCTCCACAATCTTGCAGAATTGTAGACAATATGGCATTAACGACACCTGACTGGATAGGGAGACACTGGAGAGAACATCTCGATCTGGGATGCTCCATGCAGTCTGCCTGAAATTCAAGAACCAAAGACCCACGCAAAAAATGATTAGCGGCCGACCGACGAACGGTCGGCTTAAAACTAAACAAGAATTTGTTATTCACCCACACACTTATAACATCAAAAACACTGTCATTTTTACATACTAACATTCAAGGTCTTCCTAGTAAGCTGGTCGAACTTAGAGAACACCAGGTGTCACAATCGCAGGATCTCATTATGATTACGGAGACCTGGTTAAGCCTTGAGATAGCAGCTTCTGAAGTCAATTTACCTGGTATGTCACTGCTTCGGAATGACAGAGCTGGAAGAGGTGGTGGCGTAATTCTGTATTACACGGCTAACCTCCGATGTGAACTTATTGACCACCCAGAGATCCGGGCCCCAGATTCGCTTTGGTGCCGGCTATGGTTACGAGACGAAGAAATATCTTAAAGCTGTGATTTACCGTCCACCAAACTCGGTGTGAAATTGACTCCAAACTAAACGACGTTTTTTCAGATTGCTTTGAGCAAGACATACAGGCACATTCACATCGCCAGCGATTTTAATGTGCACGATCTGGGAATAGCGGCGATCGATATCATGCAGTTCAAAGCCTGTTTACAATTGGTAATTTTCAGTTACCCTCTGTACAGTCACGTGACATCTCCCACCACATTTCGAACTGCTAACAAACCGTCGATACTTGATCTTGTGCTCACCAACGAAGGACTCATGGTAGACAGAATAATGACAGGCGCACCACGGGATCGCAGTGACCATGTGACTTTACTGTTTTACTATGTATGTTATGCGTAATATCCTGAGGCAGAGGATGATAAAGTGTATACGGTCACGCACTACAACGTGTTATCCGCGCTTGCTGAAGTGGGGTCTTGGATCTTCTTAACTGAAAGTCCACCAGAAATCGCCTGGGACACTTTCACCATGACATTTAGCACACTGGTAACGCACACGTCTGAGCAGCAATTTTTCCATCGTCAAAGGAGAAGGAAGTCATTTCTGAGGAGCAGAACAAGCAAATACATGTCCTTGAAGGACTTAGCATGTATAGCTCACAAGGACTCCCCGAATTCCGAAATCTGGACTGCCTATGTGGCACAGCGTAACTTCTGTGTGAGTTTGATCTGCGAGGACAAGATGACGCATCAGCAGGAATTAATGAGGAGCTTTTGCACGAACCGCAAACTCTTATACAGGCATGTTAATGGCCTTCTTAAGGGGCGACGCGGAATTCCAGCACTGATCAGAACTGACGGGTGCACATGATCAGCAACGGAAGCAGCCGATCTCTTACGGTTCCATTACTTACGAACGTTCCAGAGAGTAACGGTCCTAACGATTATCCCTGTTTCTATTGTGCCACCATCGGCTTTATCCACTATTACTTTTACTGCAGGAAGTGTGTCAAAGAAACTGGTGTCCCTGCATATCCACAGCTCTCCTGGTGTCGATAACATTCGGCTGAGGGCTTTACAGGCAGCAGTCAGTGATCTGTCGGAACCTCTGGAAATATTCTATCAGCGCTGTGTTAGGAGAACCATATTCCAACAATATGGAAGCGAGGGTTCATCACTCCTGTAAGGGAGATAGTCGCACTGTCCCAAATAATTAACTTCCTATAACGCTACTCTCTGTGCTTTCTAAGCTTATGGAGTCTATGATCGCTGATGCACTCATGCATTATCTGGATAGTCACAATCTGATAGCACCAGATCAACATGGGTTCCGACAAAAGCGCTCATGCACTACAAACCACCTGCTAATTGCACTCAATAGCTGGACGGAAGCAGTTATTGGTGGAGCAGGAGTTGATGTCATTTACCTGAACTTCTCAAAAGCATTCGATCGTTTAGACCACCGAATTCTCATCTATAAACTTCAGCACTATGGCGTTGGTGACCCACTGCTGCGTTGAATATGCAATTTCCTGAACGAACGTCGGTTGGAGGTGAGAGTGCGAGAGTCCGTGTCCTACGCACTTGAGGTGGAGTGCGGCGTACCACAAGGCTCAGTGCTCGGGCCCCGTCTATTCTTGATTTTCATAAACGATCTGGCGAGGGAAATTACTTCCGATTGCCTATTCTTCGCGGATGATATCAAGTTATGGCGAGCGATCAGGGAACCTGACGACCACGAAAAGCTCCAGCGTGACCTCAACACGATTTCAAACTGATCAGTCATGAATCCACTACCGTAAAATTTGGAAAAGTGCCACGATGTTCAATTGCGCCATAGGCGTGACTACGTGTATATGCTTGGATCACATGTATTGCGAACAACTTCCCAAGAATGCGACCTTGGTGTGCTCGTTCAAATTGACCTTAACTGTTCAAAACGGTCAGAGGCAGATGAGAAGAGAGCCAACCAGCACGTTGGCTTACTACGGGGAGCATTCGGAAATTTCGACCTATCCATCTACCCCATGATGTACAATTCCTACGTGCGCCCTGACGTTGAATACGCCATCCAAGCTTGGCAACCCTGATTGAAGCGCGACTTAGAAGTGCTAGGGAAACCACAACGCAGGTCCACAAAGAACGTCAAGGGCCTACGAAATCTGTCCTACCATCAAAGGCTGAAGTCACTGGAAGTTTTCAGTGGCCGCTACCGCCGCGGCGATCTCATATTAGTCTACTAAATATTGAATGACCCTAATCACGTATGCCTTCACTTGTTGAAAATCAGCCACAACACCAATCTCAGAGGTAACCCTAATGAAATTGTGTGCACAGTATAGCCGCCTGAAATGCCGACGGAGTTATTTTTCTCTTCGGGTTTGCCAACCTTGTAATTCGCTCCCAAACTTCGTTGTTTCTTCCCCACCTTGGATATGTTTGAAAAACGATTGGATCCTGCCATTGGCCCCCATCACTTTGTTGCCTGAACTGTGCTACTTTGGAATATATTAATTATCCCTTCCAACCGGATTAACATGTCACATAAACCCGAGGATGCGATGCAGCAGTGAGTCTTCACGCTTTTACTTTTCTCATGAAGTACATCAATTATAACTGTCTCCATGTTGCCTCCTCGTTCGCATCACTTGCACTACTCTTATTCAGCAGTGTATCTGCTAGATAACCGCTCAAACAGACAACTCCCCTATCTTTTGATAATTATAGTTTTACCCCCATCATCCTGCGGGACTTGTCAAGTAACCGCTTTTTTACCCGGCATCAATTGTTCTTCATCTTGACTTACCAGATTTTGTGTGATCCCAACCAGGCGTGCCCCCATTTGCTAGAGCTCCGACACAACAATAAGTTAAAGAGGCTACCATCTCAAGTTGGCAGAGCAATACAGTCGTTTGGAATGCTATCGGAATTTCTTTTCCGTACGCATTCGCGAAGCGTGGAATGCTCCACCAGAATCTTTGCTCCCATGCTGGTAGAGTTCACATCCCGAGTTGTCCGCACACTCATTTCGCTTCAGCATCTCACCTAACTCAGTGCCTTTGTGTAAACACGAGTGTCTGTTAGAGATTTCACTGCCGATTAACTCCAAGAATACGTTACATCGTTTTCATCTCCTGTATAGATTCACCAGGAAGCGGTACAGTCTTCACTAACGTCCCATTTGTCGTCATTACTTATGGACTTATAGCTGATTTAAAGTTTTTCTTGACTGTACTTCTGTGAGTCAACTGGTGTGAACACACTTTTGCTGACAATTTTTCTATATTTTGAGCTTTTACCATGACCATCCCTCGGGACCTGTTAAGTATTAGCTTGTTTACCCGTGTAAAACCATTGTGCCATTGCCCCAAGGGTTTAAGCTATTGCACCCCCACCAACCATGCATGTCTCTTCATTCTTGATTGGCGATAGTAGTATCTGTCTCTCTGTCGTTTATGTTCATTATGTGCGTGTCAGACGCTCCATCTTCGGGTCACATTAGGCGAGGTGCCCGGTTGAAAATGAGCATTCTGTTAGCATCTTAGCTGATTCGATTATAAACACAGTTCACGGAGTCTTGAAATCGTTAGAGGTCATGTTGTCACTACCACCCCACACGGTATTCCAAAAGACGGTACTAGATCTGTGCATCATTCCACCGTAGCCTTATTTGCGCTTCTCTATCTGTGTCCTGGTTTTAAGACCAATGTGTCCGCATTACGCTTGTTGATCCAGATATCCAGAGTTTGGCGCACATTCTTGCTCAGAATCAGTTCAGGTCATCTAAATGCAGCATTAGTACGCCGGTACGTCCTACCGACTCTTCACTGCCACGCACCCACCAACAGCTGCGTGGGGGGGGGGGGGGCAAGGTGGAACCGGTGACTTGTAGATAGAAGGCCGGATGCTTGAGTCATCGGCCCAGCGTTTTTCTCAACACTGTGAATAGAAATAGAGTCATCAAAAACCATAGAAATCAAAGGAAGGTACAGTCGTCGTAAAAAGAAAATCGAACACAAAGTAACCTGTGATTTCTTCAAATGGCGCGATACTACATAGTTGGCTAAGCCGAAATAGGGATCTGCTTTGGGGGATATCACCCTGAGCCTTTGGTTGAATAGTCTTCCTGCAATGCAGCGAGATGAATTCATGAAACTGCGCCCATTGAAAGCCGGCGATTGGTTACTCAGTTCATACACCTTTCGTTTTGTCGGTTGCTCAGTGGGAGTGCAGGGCTTCGCCGTAGTGCAGCAATTGGCAGTAACTTTATTCATTGCTAAACGGGTATTTGTACTTTTACAGGGAGAACGCATGTCAGTCGAAAACTCACCACGTCCTGTAACAATTCCGCCGAGCCATTTGCTGGAACGAACTACCCAGCTGGCACCACATGGATGTGTTTCACCGAGCTGTTACTGATGCAGTCACCTTGCGCCCTATTCGATCAAGTTGTCTAGCGTCCCCTAGCTTATGGGCATCAGGAGTTCTAAAATTTCATCTGTGAAGCATGCTGACAATATCCCTAGGAAGCTGCAACAATTATTCATTCGGGTCCTTCTTTCGACACTTAAGTTCATACCGAGCACCAAGTATACCATCATATCTCATCGTTCTCGGTACATAACACATTAAATGAGCCGCTTGTTGACTTATGTATGTGCGACATTTTCGTCCCCGCATTTGTAACTCCCGTGAGACAACACACACTTTTCATTTCCAACCACTATTGGGTAAAGTAGGCTGGTTATCACACAATTTGTCTATCACAGTGCGGACACAGGGATCGAGCTTTTGTGGGATATCCTACTTTTGGCTTAGATTTCAATCGTGAGCCTCTTCCGTATGCGCACGAGTGAGTTCTGTCCTGCAATCGTGTGGTCTGCTACTTTGATAGGATTCTTCTATGTACCGATCTGTTCCGGTTAATTTCACCGATTCACTTGCATTCATATTTATTTTAACGCTTACTACATCACCGGTTGATAGAGGAATGGTACTGTTCGCCTCCACTACAGCAACTATCTCCACCTGTGTCTGACTGGACCCCTTACCCCATTCCTGGAGTGCCCCGAACTTCGCGCGCTTTTTCTCTCAGCATTTTCCATAAACTTTCTTTTGTATGCTGTGCATTAACCACGTCATGTCCTCTATTTTCCCCTGAAGGCGATGTTCGTCGTGACCTGGCTGCTGCTCCGCATGTGTACGCCAATGTAGCCTGGCCCACCAGTGGTTTGTATTGCCCTCACAAGCTGGCCATTGATTTGGCCGTATGCCTTACGACTGGGTCCACAGGACGCGTAAGTTACGGTGGTGTGGATGAATCTACCGACGATACACAGTTGGCTGCATTTCACAAAGCATATGACGGCTTTGGCATGTTCGGCCTAAGTGTCTTTGGTTATTCGGCCAAAGCGGTTGAGGACCGGCTGATCCGCGCCATCCACGCCTTGCGAAAGGCCAAGATTACTCTCGATGAGTTAAGGATCGCGAAGTGAGTCCTCATCTTTAACTCGTGTCTGTGTTGCTCAAGCATCTTTGTTCCCGCAATGCAGGTACTCGGAGTCTGGTTATATGTTTGTCGCACACTGTTACTCTGACATATAACAACAGCAGGAACTCTGACAGTAGGACAACGGGCATCGGGTAACTCGTGTAGTCCTCCAAGAGTCAAAACAAACTCTGGGCAACGATCAGATATGTTATTTCTGAAGCAAGTCATGGTTTATACTGTGCATAACTAGCGGGTGCTATTTGATCGCGACGTCTCACAATAGCTACTTTCCGTTTTGTGTCTTCCGCGGTCTGTTTGTTTCCATTAGTCCGTCTTCCGCCCCATTTGTTCTGTCCGGCTCGAGTTATGCTCGAACGCAACAGCCCTCTGGTTAGCGTACACGCTTCATCCGCTCGCGGCTGTTCCAACCAATCCGCTTCATCGTTGTCCGTGACACAGCTGTGCTCTATTCTTTCTAGCTTGAGCCGATTCTGATTCCTTTCTTCGTCTCGTCCACTCATGGTCAATCTGCATAAATAGCAGCTGATTAACC